ATTACCATTCACATACATACATCAGAACATTACACTGTACCCATAAATAGGTACCATTGATATGTGTACACTGTTTCATTACTTCTTACACTAGGATAAATTGGTGTTTATACTACTTTGAGCCAAGGAAAACTGAGTTAAAAGAGGTTGCTTGGCCAGTAAGTTTCCTAGGTCAGACTCTGGCAGGTAATAGGATGTGAGTCAGGATAAGTAAAGAAAGGTTTGAATAATACATATCAAGGCATTGTAGTCCCCATTGTCTCTAAGCAGAGAAGCTGATGAACTTTTTCCAGGCACCGTTAATAATTCTATCATATGCTTGTGCCATTTAGAGGGCTAGAGCAATTCAATGATTCACCACACCCACCACTAATCTTTCATTTCAAATGCTATTTACTCTGAGGAGAATATTAATTAAATCAGCTATATAGAGATACAGTCTCATCAAGTGCAAAAGCAAACACTTGAACTACTCTCATCAAGACTGATATTAATATTAGGTTCATCTACAAAATCCCTTGAGAGCCTGAAAAACACATACTTTAGATTTTGAAAAATATTTGGTTCCAACATTTTAATTTATTCAAGTATTTTGTTTCATTTCCATAATCTGTTTTTGTGCACTGCTTTTTCATTTTAAAAAATGGGAGTGAGTTGAAATTAATTGCTTGGTTGCATGAGCCTTAATAATTACAAAATTCTCACATGGTTTATAAAGCACACTCCATTTTAAGAGATGCTTCTGAGTAAGAAAAACTGACTTAAAATGTGGTTTTATGTATGAATGCCCCTTTGGAGAAAAAAAATAGTCTACTGAACTTTTATATATAATTATAAGAAAGTTTTCTATTTTTCAATTACAATATCCTAGATATTGTTTACTTTCAATTTTCCTTTAATGCTCCAACAATCATAGAGGGCATATTGCATAGTCTCCGGGAGGTATATCCTTCTACACCTTTCTCCATGCCACATAATTTCTAAGAACCTTGAAAAGATGTATCTATGCACCTCAAATCTCTCATTGTCACTTCTACAGCTTGGTCTCTTTTGGTCCCTAAACCTCCAGCTTACCTCTTGCCACTAGTAACAGGTTTCTGGAAATTCCTGTTACTCACACAATATAAGCATTGATAACGTGTCCTGTTTTTCATTCCTCAAAGCTTTTCTTACATTAAGCCATTATATTGTTAGACTATTTTTACTGAGAGGACAGGAAAAATACAGTAGAGAGAATGGCTCACGTCCCTGTCCAGCTGTCAGTGCACTCAAAGGAGGAAAGTCATCTCAGTTTCCACCAATGTTATCTCCCACTTTAGCGTCACACCAGAACTCGAGTTCCACCTTAGAGGGAAATAAGTAAATTCCTTCTGCTCCAACCCAACACTTCACCATTTCTTATTCCATAATATAACTTCTCAGGATACATGCTTTTAAAACACTTTCTGGAAAAATTCCCATCTCTACCTAAAAAAGAGTATCTGGGAATCAAGACAATCAAACTACTTGACACTCTTTTCTGTACTTGACTTTTAAAACATTAAATGGCACTGCACATAGCACACCAATGAAGCAGCACCAGTTGCCGCATGATGGCCTCAATCCAGACTGACAAGCATTCTTCTAAAATAGGATGAAGGCACTATCAGTCTTATACATTCTTCTTGAGTTGAGTTGTTCTTCCAACAAATGAAAGTAAATGTATGAATGTAAAGAACGACATCTCTCAAGACCAAATAATTGTTTTCACTCATGGGATAACATAAACCCAAATTCAAGAAAAAAATTAGTTTTTCTATCTCAGTAGGGATGCATATTTGCATAAGATAAACCTAACTTCTATCATTAAACAGAAGACATCTTGCTTGGAAGCAGCTGCATTTTAATTACCTCTCTTTTTCAGGGTTATTCTATAAAGGGAGGGTAGATATTTGCTTTATACATGCGTGACAGAAAGTGCAAATCAGCAGTCAGCTTCCCAGCCAATGTAAACAAACACCAAGTCCAATTTCTACCCCTAATCACAAGAACTCGAAGCAAACCTCAAAATAGCAGTTTTCAAGATTTTGCCTTTAAAAACTAAATCTTCCTTACACCCCCACCACACACACACACACACACACACCCCATACTTCCAAAAACCCAATAGTCAGTGACTCCCTTTGCTTATTCCCTGAGGAATGCTGACATACTATAAACTTACTGTAACTTCTATTACTTTCCTTCCTGGCCACCTCTAATTAACCTCCTTCTTCTTAAACCTTATAAATCATTAAGCAATTCATCATGCGCTGCTTTGGAAAATCTTTTCTATTGTTTTTTTCAGTGCTGCTTTTGATCACATATTTTTGTCTTATCTTTCCACCTGAATTTTATGCTTGGAGGGTACAATTGTGGAGAGGAGAGGCAGATTTGTTTGTTTCTCAAATATGTTTTCACTGTTTGCCTGTACTCAAAAGGTGACCATTAAATATATGTTAAACCTATTCTAAGAACATGTCCAGAATAATGTGGTCTCTATTGTCTTTTATTAACCGATCATACCATCTATAAATTAATGTTATTTTGGTACCACTGAAGGTTAAATCTGCCGTTTCAGGCAATACTCTCATCCTACCTCCTAAATTAGAAATGACCCCAAATTTTAATAGTTCCCACTTTATTATTGCTAGGCTAATTATTCAATAGTTCTTCTAAAACTTTATCTGAGGAAAATCTGGGAAACGATACCTCTTTCTTCAATTTCTTCAATTCTCCTTTAGCTTAGAACTCGCCTGGAACATTCTAAGGGTGAATAATTGTCCATCTTCTTTCCAATGAACATGACTGCTAACCCCAGTATTTCTACTATCCCCATAAACATATTGCTGCACAAAAAATTGATTTTGCCACCCTCTTGATTAAAGTATTGTAACATTATTTGTATTATAGCTTAGCTTATCATCAAAGATCTTTTCATCTAATTTCATTTTTCCTCTGCATTCTCATACCCAATAAATTATATTATACACACTACATCCTTGCATACTGAAATTTTTGCTTCCCCTTGGATATACCACTTACCATGTATATGTATATATTTTGACACAAACAAAAACAGGTCAGCACATTCTATTTCTGCAAAGCTCATTTGTCCTTCAAAATACAAGTCAAATATTACCTCTACTACAAATCTGTTCACATCTGTTCCAGGTAAAATTATTAACAGCTCTCTCATTTATATTTTTACAGCACTTTGTTTATATCTGTCATGATATTTTTGGTGTATTGTTTGTGATTTGTTTTTATGTATGGCTTTTTCTCCTTGTTCTTCAATGGAAATAACTACTTATTTATACCCCAAATATAGAATGGCAGAAAATAAAGCACAAACATACAAGTTATAAAGATATAAGTTAAAATTCTAAATGTGTCATCATATTTGATCTGAAAGTTAACATTGATCAGCTGTAGGAAAATAATTGCATCTCTCCTGCAATGCAATCATAACACAGGGCTTATAACATTTATCTAATTAAGTGGTCATTATTATCAATGGATTTTCTATCTGTTTATGGAAGGCTCTCTTTAAATGAAAATTTTTATTATATCATCTTAGAAAATAGTTGAGCAAATGAATTCTTTAACTTTAGTATTTTCATAAATTTTCTATGTGATTAAGCTTTGGTCAATGAATCTGCATTCACTAACAACAAGTCAAGAAAAATAAATATAAAACTCGTTTTGCTTGGATATGAAAAGCTGTATAGAGTATTGCTCCCATCCCAACAATAAAAACAGAGTAGAAAAAACACAAAAACACAATTTTTTTACTTCTATGAGAGAGCCTATAGGTATAAAAATAGAACCAAAGTAACTAAGTAAATGCCAAAAAAAAGACAAACTTCTCCATGGAGAGACAAGATGTACAAACACCTTGAAGATAAGAAAAAATAGCTAAAATTTTATTAAACTTCCAAAGTTCAAGTGTAGACAAGTTTCTTTGAATTAACTGCTTGCTAGCTATAAAGGTAGTCTCCACACATTTGCAAAATCTTTCTCATAAGTGTGCTGTTTGATATAGGAAAGATTGGAAGCAGGACATGAGTGTAGAGTCATACATTTGGGAGCTGATATTTGAAATCTGGAAAGAAACAGTAATTAAATATTACACATGTCTCTGGACCTTTACCTCCTATGAAACAAAAGCCTAAGTCTGCTAATATAACAGCAGCAAAGTCTGTCATACCCAGTACACAGGAGGAGATCCTGTGGTGAAGGAAATAATAGAAGAACAAATTCTGCTTCAAGAAGGGAACCACCTTGGACCTAAGATCCTCTACTGACCTCAAAGAGTAGTCTCTCTTTGATAGCTGAGGGAAAGAAAACTTCCAGTAAAACAAACAATCAAGAGAAGAGGAGCTAGAATGCTGGCAAATCCAGAAATTCAACTCAAACTCTGTAAACAACTCAAAAGCAACACAAAGAAACCTGAAGCAAGTGAAAATAGTAATAGTAATAATAAAACCCACATTCAACTCAACTCCCAAACAGATGGACTCAAATCTATAACTAACACTAACAACTTGAAGAAGAGGGACAACTTTTTAAGGCATAAAAAGCATTGAAAGCCTTTTAGTCTTTTTTTTTTATTTTAGTTTTTTATTTATTTTTTTTTTTTTGAGATGGAGTTTCGCTCCTGTTACCCAGGCTGGAGTGCAATGGCGCGATCTAGGCTCACCGCAACCCCCGCCTCCTGGGTTCAAGCAGTTCTCCCACCTCAGCCTCCTGAGTAGCTGGGATTACAGGCACGCGCCACCATGCCCAGCTAATTTTTTTTTTAATTTTTTATTGCATTTTAGGTTTTGGGGTACATGAGCAGAACATGCAAGACAGTTGCGTAGGTACACACATGGCAGTGTGGTTTGCTTCCTTTCTCCCCTTCACCCACATTTGGCATTTCTCCCCAGGCTATCCCTCCCCACTTCCCCCTCCCACTGGCCCTCCCCTTTTCCCCCCAATAGACCCCAGTGTTTAGTACTCCCCTCCCTGTGTCCATGTGTTCTCATTTTTCATCACCCGCCTATGAGTGAGAATATGTGGTGTTTCATTTTCTGTTCTTGTGTCAGTTTGCTGAGGATGATGTTCTCCAGATTCATCCATGTCCCTACAAATGACACGAACTCATCATTTCTGATTGCTGCATAATATTCCATGGTGTATATGTGCCACATTTTCCCAATCCAGTCTATCATCAATGGGCATTTGGGTTGATTCCAGGTCTTTGCTATTGTAAACAGTGCTGCAATGAACATTCGTGTGCATGTGTCCTTACAGTAGAACGATTTATAGTCCTTTGGATATATACCCAGTAATGGGATTGCTGGGTCAAATGGAATTTCTATTTCTAAGACCTTGAGGAATCGCCACACTGTCTTCCACAATGGTTGAACTAATTTACACTCCCACCAACAGTGTAAAAGTGTTCCTTTTTCTCCACATCCTCTTCAGCATCTGTTGTCTCCAGATTTTTTAATGATCGCCATTCTAACTGGCGTGAGATGGTATCTCAATATGGTTTTGATTTGCATCTCTCTGATGACCAGTGATGATGAGCATTTTTTCATATGATTGTTGGCCTCATATATGTCTTCTTTCGTAAAGTGCCCAGCTAATTTTTTGTATTTTTAGTAGAGATGGTGTCTCACCATGTTGACCAGGATGGTCTCGATCTCTTGACCTCGTGATCCACCCGCCTCGGCCTCCCAAAGTGCTGGGATTATAGGCTTGAGCCACCGCGCGTGGCCCGCCTTTTAGTCTTTGACTCTTCTGAAATAATATCTTGGCAGGGTGGAGCAAGACGGCAGAACAGAAGCCTATGCTGCTTGTCTCAAAACCTGGAAAAGCAAATTTTAACAATTTTCACACAGAAAGGCACCATCACAAGAAAAAAAATCAGATGAGCAATCATAGTACCTGGTTTTAACTTCATGTGGCGGAAAGAAGCATTGAGGAGGGCAGGAGAGAATCTTGAATTGCAAAAGTCACCCCCCCGTCCCCCAGCAGCATCTGTGCAGGGTGCAGAGAAAGAATCTGTGCATTTTGCAGAGGGGGAGAGCACAGCAACTTGACTTTACATGGAACTTAGTACTGCCCTGTCACAGCAGAGAATAAAGCTGTTCTGGGAGAAGACAACACCAATGAACTGAGAGAGTATTTTGAGCAGCCCTAGACAGAGGAAAATTGCCCATCCCAGTAGTTGAAACTTGAATTTCTTGGCAGGCCACAGGCTGAAGTGCTCTGGAGTCCTAGGCAAACCTGAAGGGAGTCTAGGAAAAAGGATTGCAATTCCTAAGCAACTCCTAGTGCTAGGTTGGGCTTACAGTCAGTGAACTAGGATGGCATATGACCTAGGGAGATACCAACTGGCATAGCAAAGGGAGGGCTTATGAGATCCCTAACCCAACCTCAGGCAGTACAGCTCCTGGCTACACAAGTGAGTCCTTCCTTCTGCTCAGAGAGGAGAGCAAAGAGTAAAGAAGATTTTTTTCTTGCATCATGGGTACAGTTCAGCCACAGTAGGATAAGGCACTGGGCAGTTACAAGGCTCCCACTCCACGCAGTAGCTCCTGGCAATATTTCTAGACACATTGTGGGCAGAAAAGGAACCTGCTGCCTTAAGGAGAAAACCTCAGTTCTAGCAGGATTAATCACCTGCTAACTAAAGAGCCCTTTATCCCTAAAAACCACCAGTGATACCCAGGAGGTACTCTGTGGCTGTGGGCTGAGATGTATAGCTTCAGAGTAGGCCCAGCACATTCTCAGCTGTGGTGCCTATCGTGATAGACTCCTCATGTTTAAGAGCAGCAGAAGTAAAAGAGAAGGGTAATTTGTCTTGCACCCTATATAACAGATTGGCCACAGGTGGGTAAAGCAACAAGCAGGATTTTGGGGTCCCTATGTCCAGACCTAGGCTCTTGGACACCATTTCAGGACCTGGTCTGAGCTAGAGGGGAGCCCAGAGCCTTGAAGGGTGAGTCCCAGGCCTGGCAACATTCACCACAAGCTGATAGAGGAGCCCTTGTACTCTAAGTGATCAGTGGCAGTCACCTGTCAGAATCCTGTGGACTGGTGGTGGAGATATCCACAGGGATGAGCTCCTCTGCCTGTGGAAAGAGGAAGGAAGAGTGGAAAGGACTTAGTATTTTGTTTGAATGCCAGCTTAGCCGTGATAGAATAGAACATCAGGTAAAATGCTAAGATTTTTTTACTCCAATTCCTGGTTCCTAGAGATCATCTTTGTATATGTCCAGGTCCTGGGGGAAACTCAGCACCGTGAAGCAAAGAACCTTGGGCAGGGACCAGTGATGCGCTGGCTTCAGATTTGATCCAGCATTGCCCTAGTGGTGGTGGCCACAGGAGTGCTTGCATTACCACCCTCTCAGTTTCAGGTGGCTCGGCACGAAGAGACTCTGTATGATTGGGAGAAAGTCGGGGAGAAGAACAAGAGTCTCTGCCTGGTAATCCAGACAGTTCCTCAAGATCTCATCCAAAACCACCAAGATGGTAGCTCTTAGGTTGCAAAACCACAGCAGTTTGGACTTGGAATCCAAGTCCCTTTAAATACCTGGAAATCCTTCCCAAGAAAGACAAGCACAAACAAGCCCATACCGTGAAAACTGCAATAATCACCTAAATCTTCAATGCCCAGACACTGAAGAACACCTACAACCATCAACAGCATCCCAAAAACATGTCCTCACAAAACAAACTGAGTAAGGCACTAGGGATCAATCCTGGATAAATGAGGATATATGACCTTTCAGACACAAAATTCAAAATAGCTGGTTTGGGGAAACTCAAATAAATTCAAAGATAACACAGAGAAGGAATCCAGAATTATGTCAGACATATTTAACAAAAAAATTGAAATAATTTAGAAGAATCAAGCAAACATTATAAAGATAAAAGAAGACGTTACATTAGATACTGCAGGAATCAAAAGAATCATTAGTGGCTACTATGAGAAACTACATGTTAATAAACTGGAAAATCTAGAGGAAATGGATACATTTCTAAACAAACACAATCTACCAAGATTGAACCACAAAGATCTCCAAAATCTGAACAGAACAATAACAAGTAACAAGATCAAATTCATAATAAGGTCTTCTAGTAAAGAAACACCTGAGACCTGACAGCTTCACTGCTGAATTCTGTGAAACATTTGAAGAATTAATACCAATGCTACTCAAACTGTTCTGAAAAGTAGATAAAGGGTGAATATTTCCAAACTTATTCTACAAAGCTAGTATTACCCTCATACCAAAACTAGATAAAGACACAACAAAAAAGAAAACTACAGACCAATATCTCTAATGAGCATTGATGCAAAAATCCTCAACAAAATACTAACAAACCAAATTCAACAATACATTAAAGAAGATCATTCATCATGACCAAGTGGGATTTCTCCCAAGGATGCAAGGATGGTTCAACATATGCAAATCAATCAGTGTGATCCATCATATCAACAGAATGAAAGGCAAAAACCACATGATCATTTTAATTGATGCTGAAAAGGTAATTAATAAAGTTTAACAGCCCTTCATAATAAAAACCTTCAAAAAACTGGGTATAGAAGGAACTTACCTCAACATAATAGAAGCCATATATAACAGACCCACAGCTAGTATCACAGTGAATGGGAGAAAATTAAAACTCTTTCCTTTTAGATCTTGAATGCAACAAGGATACCCACTTTCCCTACTGTTACTCAACATAGTAATGGAAATCTTAGCTAGAACAAAATAGGAGAAAGAAATAAAGGGCATCCAGCTTGGAAAGTAAGAAGTCAAATTATTCTTATTTGCAGAGGACACAATCTTATATTTGGAAGAACCTAAAGACTTTATCAAAACACAATTAGAACTGATAAACAAATTCAGTAAAGTCAAAGGATATAAAATCAACATACAAAAATCAGTAGAAATGAAAATAACCTCTTTAAAGACAAAATGTTATGCCAAGCTGCATCAAGACGTAATAGAAATTGTGGGCCAGGCGCGGTGGCTCAAGCCTGTAATCCCAGCACTTTGGGAGGCCGAGGTGGGTGGATCACGAGGTCAAGAGATCCAGACCATCCTGGTCAACATGGTGAAACTCCATCTCTACTAAAAATACAAAAAAATAGCTGGGCATGGTGGCGCATGCCTGTAATCCCAGCTACTCAGGAGGCTGAGGCAGGAGAATTGCCTGAACCCAGGAGGTGGAGGTTGCTGTGAGCCGAGATAGTGCCATTGCACTCCAGCCTGGATAACAAGAGTGAAACTCCGTCTCAAAAAAAAAAAAAGAAAAAAAGAAATTGCGAATAATCTTATACCAATTAAAACAATTAAATTTGTATTGAAAAGCCTTCCCAGGATTAAAACTCCAGGCCCAAACACTTAAAGTAGAAATACTGTCATGTTTCCCATAGGACTGGGGACACTCGCTATCTCATTGCAAATTCTAGCCAGAACAACAAGGTAAGAAAAATAAATAAAATTCACAGAGATTGCAAAAAAAGCAAAAATAAGCTTGGTGGCTCATACCTATAATCCCAGCACTTTGGGAGGCCGAGGTGGGATCACAGGATCCAGAGATGTCTCTACTAAAAGTACAAAAAATTAGCTGGGTATGGAGGCACACACCTGTAGTCCCAGCTGTTTGGGTGGCTAAGGCAGGAGAATCACTTGCACCCAGGAGGCCAAGGTTGCACTGAGCTGAGATCACACCACTGCACTCCAGCCTGGTGACAGAGCGGGACTCTGTCTTAGAAAAAAAAAAGAAAAGAAAAATAAGATTGTCTACAAAGAATATTGCAAAGATTCTATGAAGAATATTACTAGAACTAATAAATGAGTGTAGCAAAGTTATAGGATAGAAAACTTCTCAATGAAAGTCAATTGTATTTTTAAACTAGCAATGAACAAATAAAAATTAAACTAATTCTATGAAGTACCATTTAAAATAACACAAGCAAAACTATGAAATGTTTAGAAATAGAGCTACCCAATTATTTGCAAGATTTTTATGCCGAAATATAAAAAAGTTGATGAGATCAATCAAAAACATTTAAATAAATGAAGAGATATACCATGTAAATAGATATAACTCAATATTGTTAACATGCCATTTGTTCCAAAATGGATTTAGAAAGTGAATATAATTCCAGTAGAAACCAAAGCAAGCTTCTTTTACTTTCTTTCATTTAATTAACAAGCAGATTCTCAAATTTATATGGAAATGCAAAGAGTGTACCATAAACAAAACAATTTTGAAAACTTTAACTTAAAGGTCTGTACTTTCTGACTCAAAACACATTGTGAAGTTAAAGTAATCAAGGCCAGAGGCTGATGCAGAGGACCACCTGAGGCCAGGAGTTTGAGATCTACCTAAGCAATATAGCCTGACTTCATCTTTAAACAAAATTTAAAATTTAATTTAAATTTTTGATTTAAATTACATGCCGGTAGTCCTGGCTACTCAGGAAGCTGAGGCTGGAGAATTGCTTGAGCCCAGGAGCTTGAGACTACAATGACTATGATCATACCACCTGCATTCTGGCCTGGAAAATGGGGTGAAATCTTGTGTCAGGAAAAAAAAAAAAAAGTAACCAGAGAAGAAGCCAAGTAACCATTAAGTGTGGTATTGACAAATGGATAGATATGAAGGTCACTGAAACAAAATAGAGATTCAGAAAATACAGCCACATGTACAGGAAAATTTATTTCAATAAAGGGGTAAAGGTAGTTCAATTAAATAAAAGATAATTTGGGCAAAAGTGCCAGAAATTATGGACCTCCACAAGCAAATAAGCTAACCTTTGTTTTCTATCCTGCAACATATATGAAATACACAAGTATATCATTGATCTAAATGTGAAATTCAACATTAATAATTTCTCCAAAAACATAGAATAATAAAGATTTTTAGGTATGGCCCTAAAATAAAATCAACATAAGAAAGATTTGAAACGCTGAACTTCATCAGAATTAAAACCAATGATGTTTAAATTTTTACTTTTATCCTTAATTAATTAATTGGGATTAGGTCTCAATCTGTCACCCAGACTGGAGGGCAGTCTCAGTTTCCCTGGCTTAAGTGATCCTCCCATCTCAGCCAGGCCCAGCTAATTTTGTTTATTTTTTTGTAGGGATGGGGTCCCACTATGTTGCCCCGGCTGATCTCAAAATCTTGGACTCAAGCGATCTTTCCACCTAGACCCCCCTGCCACCTGCAAAGTGGTGGTATTACAGGCATGAGCCACAGTGCTAGCCAAAAAACAGTTGTTTCTTAAAAGACACTATTAGGCATTAAAAAAAACTGAAGCCACAGATCATGAGAAAATATTTGCTAAATGTATATTTGATAAAGTACCAGTGTTTAGGATATAAAAATTGTACAAAAATTTACATATTTGACCAAAGCACATACACAAATTATCACCAAAAGATTTTCAACATAACTACTTATCAGGGAAATTCAAATAAATTGTAACCACCATAAGATATCAGGAATGAATAAAACCTGAAACCTGAGAATATAAAGTATTGATGAAAATATGCAGTAATTTGGACTCTCATACATTGCTGGAATGTAAAATTGTATAATCCCTTTGGAAAACTATTTGGCAATTTCTTATAAAGCTAAACATATATTTACAAGGCAACCCAGCAACTCACTACCAGATGCTTATCCAAAAGAAAATGAAGATGTATATGTACAGAGAAACCTGTACACAAAAATTTATAGCAATTGTATTAGGCAGTTCAGACTGTCATAGAAAATACCATAAGCAATGTAGATTAAACTATGGACATATATTTTCTCACAGTTTTGGAGGCTAGAAATTTAATGTCAATCTTCTGGCACAGTCAGTTTCTGGTAAGGGCTCTTTTCCTGGCTTGCAAAGAGCCACTGTCTGACTATGTCCTTACATGGCCTTTCTTTAGTGTATGCAAATCAAGGTGAGGGAAGTTACCCAATATCTCTTCTCCTAAGGAAACAAATGCTATTGTATCAGGAATACTCTCTGATGATCTTAGTGAACCTTAATTACTACTTCATAGGACTCATCTGCAAAGACAGTCACACTGAGAGTTAGATATTCAACGGATGTTTTGGGATGACATAAACATTCAGTGCATAACATTCTGTCTCTGCTTTTACTCCATTCTGACAGCAACAGGAGTCTTAATTCATTCCAGCATTGGCTCCAAAGTCTCATGTCCAGTCTTATCTAGACATCATTTAAATTAGATATGGGTGAGACTTAAAGACATAACTCATCCAGAGGTAAAATTTCTCCCCAGCTATAAACCTGTGAAACCAGACAAGTATGTGCTTCCAAAATATTATTTAGGCCCTTTTGGTAGTAGTGTTATATCCATAAATCTGCCTGGGGGCTCCAGCCCTTCAGCTCAGAGTGGTAGCCCAGGCCCAGTGTTTCCCTAGACAGCCCCAACCACATGGCCCTCTTTAATGGTTACTCAGCCTGCTGAAAATGAGGAGGACGATCCAGGGAAACAGAGAAGAAAGAAGGCTTATATCCAGAGTTTATAGTGGGAGTGGTACCCCTGATGATCTCTGAATCACTTTCAGGATTATTCATTAATTATTTTGGAAAGATAAAGCATGTGTGCAGTCCATTAACTCTATTTTCTCCCCCTGTAGAATACAAGAAGTAAGATAGGTTTTTTTTTTCCTTATATTCTCTGTGCCCTTTAGTTCAAACTGGTAGTGTTTCTGATTATGTAATCTCATCTCTATTCCTGGCTTTTCCTGAGATGGATGATTAAACTAATAAGTCACTCTCATGATCTCATTATAGAATTACTGCTCAGTCACACTTTTAGTGTTTTCATTGGAATACGCTTCCTCATTTTTTGCAATACAGATAGGCTGAGAATTTTTCCAAATCTTTGAATTCTGTTTCCATTTTGCTTAATGATTTATCTTTTCTCCTTCAATTTACTTTGCTTTTACATTTTACTATCTGAAGTAAGGAGAAACCATGCTGCTCTTTCAACCCTTTGCTTGGAAATCTCTTCAGTTAAAAACTCAGTTACAGTGTTCACGACTTGTACTTTCCAAAACACACTAGAACACAATTCAATCAAGATCTTTGACATTTTTTTAACAAGAATCGCCTTTCCTCCAGTTGCCAGTAGTATGTTCCTCATTTCCCTCTAAGACCTCACCAAAATGACTTTGATGTCCATATTTTTGTCAATATTTTGTTCATAAAAATCCATGTATTTTCTAAGACAGTAGAGGTTTTCACTATAGATCTCCTGTTTTTTTTCTGAGCCTGTACCAGAATTATCTTTAATATACATACTTTTATTCAAAGTTCCTTCAAGACAAACTAGGCTTTTCTGGCATGCAACTCTGTATTAGTTCATTTTCACCCTGCTATAAAGAACTACCTAAGGCTGAGTAATTTATACAGAAGAGGTTCAATTTACTTACAGTTCTGCATGGCTGTGTAATCCTCAGGAAACATACAATTGAAGGTGAAGGGGAATCAGGGCACATCTTACATGGTGGTAGGAGAGAAAGAGAGCAAAGCAGAAAGTGCTACACAGTTTGAAACAACCAAATTTCATGAGAACTAACTTACTTTCATGAGATAATAACCACCACCATTATTTAATCACCTCCCACCAGGCCTGTTCCTTGACATGTGGGGAGTATAATCCAAGGTGAGATTTGCATGGGGACAAAGAGTAAGACCATACTATTCAAATTCTGGACACTCCCAAATCTCATGTACTACTCACATTTCAAAACCAATAATGCCTTCCTAACAGTCTCATAAAGCTTAACTCATTCCAGCATTAACTCAAAAGTCCAAGTCCAAGTCTCATCTGAGATGGCAAATTCTTTCCACCTATAATGCTGTAAAATTTTTTTAAAATTGCTTACTTCCACCTGTAATCCCTGAACTTTGGGAGGCCAAGGCGGGTGGATCACGAGGTCAAGAGATCAAGACCATCCTGGTCAAAATGGTGAAACCCCGTCTCTACTAAAGATACAAAAGATTAGCTGAGCATGGTGGCACATGCCTCTAATCCCAGCTACTCAGGAGGCTGAGGCAGGAGAATTGCCTGAACCCAGGAGGCGGAGGTTGCAGTGAGCCGAGATCACGCCATTGCACTCCAGCCTGGGTAACAAGATTAAAACTCCGTCTCAAAAAAAAAAAAATAGTTACTTCCAAGATATAATGAAGGTACAGGCATTGGGTAAATGCTCCCATTCCAAAAGAAAGAAATTGGCCAAAATCAAGAGGCTACAGGCCTCCATTCAAGTCCAAAACCTAGCAGGGCAGTCATTAAATCTTAAAGCTCCAAAATACTCTTCTTTGACTCCATGTCTTATATCCAGGGCATGCCATTGCAAGAAGTGGAATCCCAAGGCCTTGGGCAGCTCAGCTCCTGTGGCTCTGCAGGGTACAGCCCCTGCAGCTGCTATCACAGGTTGGTGTTGAATGCCTATGGCTTTTCCAGGTGCACAGTGCAAGCTGTCAGTGCATCTACCATTCTGGAATCTGGAGGATGATGGCCCTCTTCTCACAGCTCCACTAGGCAGTGCGCCAGTGGGGACTCTGTGGGGGGGTTCCAACCCCATATTTCTCCTCCGTACTGCCATAGTAGAGGTTCTCCATGAGGGCTCCACCCCTGAGGCAGAATTCTGCCTGGATGTTCAGGCATTTCCACACATACTTTAAAATCTAGGTGGAAGTTCCCAAACCTCAAGTCTTGTCTTCTGTGCACCCACAGGCCCAACACCACATGGAAGCTGCCAAGGCTTGGTGGGGGCTTGTACCCTTTAAAGCAATGGCGCAAGCTGTACCTTGGTCCCTTTTAGCTGGAGCTAAATGGCTAGAGCTGAAGTGTCTGGGACACAGGGAACCATCACCCAAGGCTGCATAGGGAAGTGGGGCCTTGGGCCTGCCCTATGAAACCATTTTTCCATCCTAGGCTTCCAGACCTGTGATAGTGGGGGAGATGTCAGGACGGTCTCTGATGTGCCCTGGAGACATTTTCCTAATTGTCTTGGCTATTAACATTTGGCTTCTCTTTACTTATGCAACTTTCTGTAGCCGGCTTGAACTTCTCCCCAGAAAATGTATTTTTTTCTTCTACCATATGGTCAGGCTGCAAATTTTCTAAACTTTTATGCTCTGCTTCCCTTTCTAATTTCAGGCCCTCTCTTTGAGAAATGCATATTGCTGTACCCTTTAGGGGTACCCAGGCCACATTTTGAGTGCTTTGCTACTCAGAAGTTTCTTCCTCGGAGTACTGTAAATCATCTCTCTCAAGATCAAAATTATCTTGAAACATCTATTGATAGTGTATTAGTCTGTTCTCACACTGCTAATAAAGACTTACCTGATAGCCAGGTGTGTAATCCACCTGTGATCCCAGCTACTTGGGAGGCTGAGGCAGGAGAATCACTTGAACCTGGGAGGCGTAGATTGCAGTGAACCAAGATCACACCATTGCACTCTTGCCTGGGCTACAGAGCGATATTCCATCTCTAAAAAAAAAAAAAAAGACATACCTGAAACTGGATAATTTATAGAGGAAAGAGGTTCAATTGACTCACAGTTCCACATGGCTGGGGAGGCCTCACAATCATGATGGAAGATGAGGGAAGACCAAAGGAATGACTTACATGATGACAGATAAGAAGACAAGAAAGCTTGTGCAGGGGAACTCCAATTTATAAAACCACCAGACCTTCTAAGACATATTCATTACCACGAGAAGAGTATCATGGAAACTGCCCCTCATGATTCAATGATCTGCACCTGGCCCCGCCCCTGACATGCAGGGATTATTACAATTCAAGGTGAGATTTGGGTGGGAACACAGCCAAATAGTATCAAATAGGAATTACAAGAGAGCCTCACTGCTTAAATTGAACATTAATGGACTCAAGTCTTCTGAAATTTAAAGCTAGAGCAACCCATAGTTTAGATATGGTATAACTGAATTCTTTAAATGCATTAGGATGTACAATATGAAAATTAAAATATTACGTCAAATCCAATATTGAAATCTATGAAATACAGTTAAACACCTGTGTAATACACTGTGGGTTCATCTGCAAATTGCCTACATATTTGCAATAATCTTATTGTACACGAAAAAGTCAAAACCATACAGGTGCTGATCTTAACTACTAAGATTTGGTTATGAAAACATGACAGCAATACGACCATAAAATACATAATATTTAATGAAAATGTAAAACCTTCTCCAAGATAACCTGCATTTCTTTAATGTTACTCTTTCAGCTGATGCCTGTGTAAAATTAGTTCTATCTGCCAAAAAACGGGAATTTTTCTGGGTGTTAAATAGCCCCATGCAGGGGAGGTCACATAACACTTGAAGGGCAATCAATGCCAGTACTGGAATTTTTGACATGATAGAAACCAGATAGAACTGTAGTGAATTATAAGTTAATATATTAATAGTAAGATCTTACCAGTTTAGAACATGGATACAATTCAAATAAAAACTGGGTTTTCTCTGCTTTAAATGAAAAACTGTATCTTCCCTTATAGTTTGTGTCTTTATATCTTACCAACTTTTCTCTTTGGCCATCACTGTTAGAATGTACAGTTTCTGAAATTTCTTTATCTTTTAACTGCACAGAATTTCTCACAGTGCAGTGAGCTAGAATGGAAAGTCATAACTAATTTATTACACTAACATTTATTAACCTCCTGTTAATTGCTGTTCCCTTAAGGAGCTCAGAGTCTAGCACAGAATATAAACAAATAAGTACAAAACAGAGTGGTAACTGCAACAGCAGAAGTCTATTCAGAATACAGATATGGTGTCAGTGCATACCTAATTTTTCTGGACTACAGCAGGCTTGTTGAACACATCCAGATGGATGATTCTTGGGCATTAATTTAAGTTTGCCAGGAGGATATGTGGTGAATAGGGCATTTCTAGCAAAGGGAATAGCATGTGCAAAGACAGAATGCTAACAGCAGCATAGTGCTTCATTATCTGACATGTTAAGTATGAATAGGGGAGTAGCAAGAGATATGAAAGGGGTCAGACCAAAAAGAGACTCATTTTATACCTAGCAGTTTGGATTTCTAAATGTAAGAAATTGGGAAAAAAACGAATTTCTTTAAGTGGAAGAGAATCATGATCATATAAATGTTTTTAAAAGATCACTTTACCAGTAATATTGGGGTTGGCTAGAATACAAGAAATTTAAAAACAAAAATACTGTTTAGGTAGCAATTTAGTAACCTCATCATGAGGTGATGAAGTCCAGACAAGTGATAATAAAAGTGGCAAGGGGTGGAGAGCAAGAAATAGTTTTGAGACTAAATTAGGAAGATTGTTGTTTGATGACTATTTAGAGATAGATACTGAGTTTGGACTTCTGGAATGGCTCCTAGGTTTTAACATAACATGCTAGACGATCTGTGAGTTATCATCCAACACAGGTTATATAGAAGGAACACATCTGGGTGGAAGATAAGTTCAAATCTGGAATTCTGAATTTAGGGTAACCATAGGAAATACAGATAGAAGTGAGAAATGGCAGAGAGCAATTGGGATTCCCTATAATATACGTGAGCCCTACCTAATTAATAATACACTCCGGTAATATTCTCTAGTAGGGCATGCTCTTTATGAGCATCTGCTTAAAATATCACTGGCTAAGAGCACAGACCCTGACTCAAAACTGCCAGAATTCCTATTCTTGCTTAGATATGAAGCAATTACTTAACATTTCTATGCCTCAGTTTCTTTTTTTTTTGGACAAAGTGATCTCAGCTCATGGCAACCTCCACCTTGCAGGTTCAAGCGATTCCCCTGCCTCAGCCTCCCAAGTAGCTGGGACTACATGCTCATGTCACCATGCCGGCTAATTTTTTGTATTTTAGTAGAAATGGGGTTTCAGCATGTTGGCCAGGATAGTCTCGATCTCCTGACTTCATGGTCTGCCTGCCTCAGCCTCCCAAAGTGCTGGGATTACAGGCGTGAGCCATTGCACCCGGCAGCCTCAGTTTCTTAAGCTGTAAAATGTAAATAACAAGGTATCTATTTTATGGTGATATTAGAATTTAATGAGTTAGATTAACAAGGCACTGAGAACAATGCAGAAGACAATGTGTTTACCCAATAAGACAAATAAGGACTGAAAAGAGAAAACATTCATCTCAACATGAGACTTTTTTCTGATAGTATAGAAACATAAAGCAGAGACTACATTTTATTTTGATTGTATACAATGAGGGTAGACAGGGTTTTTTTTTTGTTTTGTTTTATAAAAGTTGATAAACCACTTAGTTGCTTCCAAAAAATCAAAGTAGAAGCCTTTATTTACATTTTTACATTTTTTGTCGTTGATTGCAATGTGTTGAACAAGACATACAATTTTATGGCTGTTCTGATTTGAAATTTAGAAATTAGGTGGTTTATAATTTTTCATAGGAAACCCACAAATGTGAATAATAATTTTTCTTATAATTTAAACTTATTCTCACATTTGACATTATCAAATGGGCCAATAACATTGGGAAGACTACAATAATGGGAATATAATTGATGGAAAGACTATAATTTTTAACTCTGGAATTGTATAAGGAATTTTTCTAGAAAAATGAAGATTTTGTGGCCTTATTCTTTTGTATAACCCAAAAGAATGGTCCATGAACCTTTCTGTCAAGACGCCATTTCCTTATTTTGTTAAAGTTCAGTGATTCCTCTCAGAATCCCACTGAACGCTCATCCTTTTCACTTCTTGGCACCTCATTAATTGTTAACTTCTGCTTCTCGTCCATCAGTCTGTTCTTTCTCCGTTTCACCTTCTAACTCACATCTGCATCGGAAGTTCAACCTCTAACTCTCCTGGACCTATGACCTGAACTTGGAAAACTATGAAAATAAAGTTACTTTTGAATTAACTTCATTGTAATACTGAAATTACAGAGAGCCGTCTGAACATGTGGCCTAATATCAAAACTAAAACTGATTCTATCTGAATTAGTGAAACTTTTTGGAAATAATAATCTTGTAATTGGTAGCCTTTTACCTCAATTCACAGCTAGAATATCACCTGACTTTAGCTAGAAGTGATTAAGTCCAAAGAAACATCCCCTTGGTTCTTGAAGTAAAGAGAAGCAGAGATGAGCAAATAAAGACAAAAATTATTCAGTCTTCTGAATACAGTATCAATTGTTTGGTAGTCTTACCATTACATAAAATTTACTTTCTAAATAAGTTCTTATTTTATTACAGAATAAGATAGTAATTTGGCACCCCATTCCTGACTAATTCTTCATACAATATAAAACAATAGATAAGATAAATATAATGTTATTTTGAAAACCATCCTATCATAGAATTACACCTATGTCAACTTTGCCAAATACTGACTACAAAAATAGCCCCATTGTTAAAGCACAGAGTGATTAAAAGCCTCTACTGTCCCATGTTATAAATTTAAAATAGAATTAATGTTACTTATATTATGGAATAAATTTGCTTCCATTATACAAATTTATCAGGCTTTGGGGGAATAATTTTCTTGGCCCAGGTCTCTTTTTAAAAGCTGTCCAAAGGAGCATGAAATCATACCATCTTTTTATAAATTTCCCTGTAGCAAGCAGAAGCATTCAAAATCACTTCATTTGTTCAAATGGTGAGGACTCTCTAAAGGGACTTAGACCTTTACTGCAATCACCAGCACCTGCAAAATTTATTCTGGAGCTCAGCACACACCTGTGAGCCCTCATCCATCCACATCAGAAAAGCTGTTTAACTCTAGGACAGAAGGATTATAAGCCTCATCATGGGATTTGCTGTCATGTTTCCAAGGCACACATGAGTGAGGTATCCACCCACACATTCAAGGGTTCTGATCATCTAGTTCCAATATATTCTCTGCCTCTTCCTTGATACCTTAAGTTCTGAATTCTGTCCTTAAACACTGTTGCAGCTTAAACTGTCCTACCTGAGACTTCCTGACACGAATCTCGGCTTTCACTCACGACATGATGGATTCTCTCCTTGAATGTTTAGTTTGAAAATATGGCAAGTATGTTTCTTTTAAAAGGAAAAATTATTTGCCTTAGAAGGCATACTTGGTGATAGTAATTTGTAAAGCTTACTTGTATATATTGTTTAATTTGATCATCCTAGCCATCAGTTGAGGTGGGCAGTTAGCCTGTGTTACAGCCCCTGCATTTATCTTCTTCTCCTGACTTCCAGGACTGAATGCATGGGCCACAGTTGAAGACCAAGGCTGAATTGAGTTTCCAAGCCAGTCAACAGTGGTAGGACGCATAAATATTTTGCTATGGGGAATTTAGTCCAGTTGATTAGGTTCAGTGATTCAGTCATGATATCTGGGTTTCCTGGTGTTCCAAGATGCATTTGTACAAAGAGTATTTAGTCTGAGGAAAACCCAAGATAATTTTGTCCCTACAAGGGTGTAGCCAAGAGTTAGTCCCTTTTATAAATGTGTGTGTGTGGTTGGATTCCCTCTATTACTTCTGC